ACAGAGAAAGAGTAGGTAGGGAACTTCTCCGGGGAGGGATGTTCCGTATTGTAATCTTTGTAGTGGTTATCTATGAAAAAATTGAAAAGATGTTTAAATGATTAAAAAAACCTCACCTTTTAGAAACATTAAGAAACAATACAATGAGATGGAACACATAAAACGTGACTTCCCAAACTGTTTTGTTTAAAACATTGATGCTTCCTGTTCATTCTCAAGTCCCTTGGAGATTTTTAAACAATTAGCATTTTCGAGGCTCTGAAGATTTTGCAGTATAGGGACTTGCTTAACTTTGTTTTAAACCGGTGTTTCCAAGACTTACTGGACCACTGAAACATTTTTTTTTTTATTTAACACTTTTAAACATCTGATGGAACAAGTGTTCCAAAGGGATATATTTTAGGAAACGCTAAACAAGCCAATTAAAAATACACCGTTTAGAATCTATGGAGGTTTAAAGGGGTTAATTGTTTTTGTCGGAGCTCACACTGCCTGCAAAGGGTAGCGGCAGGATTGGAAATGCAGGGCCATCGGACTGGACAGCCATTCTGTATTCTTCCCATCTTTCCCTGCTCCGGGCCTCAGTTTTCTCATCTATAGACCGAGGAGATGCGAACATACACAGCATGAGATAGCAACTGGAGCTGCCACTTTCTTCAACTGTGTTTCGAGGTAGCTTAAGGAAACACTCTGAGCTTCAGTTTCCCTCCATAAAATGAGAATAGTAATACTCCAACTGAAATGCTTGTCTTCTTTTAATTTTGTAATTTAAAAAATGGCCAAGTAAAATAAGATGCATTTAAAAGTTGTCCAAATCCACCCCCTACCACATCTTGATGCTTGACTTCTGTGTGTCAGAAGTCATTTGTGTATCACCAGTTATTCTTCTGCTTTGGGGTTCTGTCAATAAATACCTTCAGGCTTGGCACACACACAGAATCATTAAATGTCCCACTTCACCCAAGTAAATATATTAACTAAATCGAAGAATAATAAATATAAATTAAAATAATATAAATAAATACAAGCAGTCATGATACAAACTCTGTTCCATCTGACCCTTCAGAACCTATCCTATCCAATGCCATTCTTCCCTCTGTGTGCTCCAGTGATACTGATATCACATCACTCCTTATCCACTTTTATCTTCCTTTGGATTATTAATATAGTTTTAAATATTTTAACTTTTTATTTCTATAGTTTTTTATTTTTATTACCAGCATCATATACTGCTAACGACCATGGGCAGAAAGTATAGGCTTATTAAAGGCAGCTGTGAGAATTCCTTGACCTAAGCATTTATTCTCCTAATATTTACTGAGAACCTGCCAGCTGCAGGCACCAGGTTATGTGCTTGATTAAGGAGATGGGTAACTCTGGGGCTTCTTATGAAAGATCAATCATGCCCATCAGCTCCCTTCAAGAGAACACCAGGTTAACTGATGAAATACTCCTATTTTTAAATATTATGAACCATCGAGTCCTATGAGTCATTCCTTTTTTTGCAGCATTACACTTGGCATAGACTGTATAGTATTAATAGATTGCATGTTGGTGGAATGATTGGTACATTCAAATATATAATTATCTCATTTGATTTTATTTAAGTTGTAATTCTTCACAGCATGCAGTTGTAAAGGTGTTTCCTTTTTCCATCCTTTTCCCCCTTCTCCTTTTTTGTTCCTCCTCCTATTCCTTCCCCTTTCCTTTTCTTTTCATCCTTTCTTTGTTTCTTTCATCATTATCTAGGCCACACATGATAAGCAAGTAGCTTACAATCTACAGTGGGACACAAACAAACATTAACAACACTGACGTGGTAAATCTCTCTTTCCAGAATTACAAGGAGTTATGATAATATGAGAAAGATAAGGGATAGGAGAATCACTCTAATTAAAGTTTCATTCTAGAGATCTGATAAGATTGTCTTTATAAAAGTCCTATAGGCCATGATGAGATGGCTGTCATATTTTTATGTTCACTAGACCATGGATTTCAACAAGAAGTAAATTTTTCAAGAGGGCGCTGGTAGTTAGTAATAGAACATACCTGACACATGTTATATAGTTTCCCAGGCAGAAGCACCTGGTTCGTGGGCTGGGTTATACTAAGCCACCTACTAATGGGAAGTTCTGAGTCCTCTTATGAAGAGCATGATCAGGGTGCAATAAAATGCTAAAGCTGAAGGACACCTTGCTGATGAGAAACAAGTAATTCTGCTGTTGGCACTGACTGCTAAATGATCAAGAGACGAAGTGCAAACCTACACAATCCTTCAATGAAGAAAATGATGGACTAGTGGCTGCAGAATGTTAGCTTTCATCTTGTTTTATGAGCTATTTCTTAGAGAGGAGTATTCTGGCCAGGAGAATGAACCCTTTAGCATAAAGTGATGTTTATGCGAAGAATCTAGAGGTGAGAAGTATCAAATAGCATTTCTTATAAACCTGGAAAGAGTGAAGAATTCTTCATTGTGGAAACTGTATTGATCACTGGGTCCACATCAACCAATGAATCTAATTAACGGTTTCAAAATAAATAAATTTTATTATGGCCATGAAGCAATTTCTAAGGTATTTTTGAAACTTAGAAATCTGTTTTGACAATGCCATATAGAGCTGAAGAAAAATAATCGTTGGCTTCCTCAGGTGCAGTGGGCTCAGCAGTGGGCCAAGTCTATGAAGGCAGGCCCTTATCTTCATCGTATCATCTTGATCTGAGTGAGAAGAAAGAAGCGAATAGCCCTAACATTTATGGAATGAGAGATGCATTCAAGTTAATGTTCTCTTCATTCGTCAGGTGTGTAAAGGGCGTAGGTTCTCTCTCATGCCCTGGAATCCAATGCACGAGTTATAAAATACTAAGCAAGAAAGAAGAGATGTCACCAGGAATCTTTTAGGATGGAATGCTATTTTTTTAAAGGGGGCTAAAAACCTAAGTGCCCATCAAAAAAGAAACAGTTAAATACATTATGATAAATAGACAACGTGAAATGCATAAAAAGAATGAGATATTTTCATTATTATTGATATGGAAAGGTGTTCAATCTAATTACAAGAGAATGAATATGTCAAAATTCTCTGTTATAAAGAGAAAAAATATACACACAAGTATATGTGTGCATATATGTTTATATACATAGATGTGTATATTTGTGTGTATATGTATAGAGAGATGTCTATAAGAACAATTCAGAAGCAACAAGTCTGCTGGGCTGGAAGCAGAGGGTGAGGGTGGCTCTGGTGGATAGGAATTCCATTTATAGTTTCTGTATGTGTATATGTATTTACATATGTTTGTGTGTGTATTTCTGTAGTTTATGTGGTTTCTGTGTGTGTTTCCAGAAGGCCATTAGGATCAATCATCCTTTGGTTAATTTTATTATTAAATAAGTTTAAATTTGGGTGTCTTGATCCAAAACATAAGTAAAAATTAACTGTTCTGAACTCTAAACCTATTTTATATTTAAGGGGAATTATAAGCAGTCTGTTGATAATGAGTAACAACACAAGACCCACAAATGTTTTGAATTAACCCTGATGAGAGTGTCTGATTCCTTCTGGCCTCTGCTGTCTTGTTCAACATATCTGAGGTCTCCCTTATATCAAGACATTCTGAAACATTTGCAGTTTTAAATCAGCTTAGACATACCAATGTGAAACCAACATAGAAATGAAGTCTGTATTCATTTCTCTTTAGATAGAAAGCACATAAATTCTCAGATAATATGTATTAGCCAGGTGTAATCGAGATCATAATATTTTATCTTTCTCATTCTTTGTACCTGTGCTAAACCTGGCCCTGGTTAGCTTTCCCCATCTTGCAGGACTTCTAAGAGTATTTCAATAAAATCAATATGTGATACTGATTTGCTCCTTGATCCCTGAGCAGTGGTACATGTTTAACCATATTTCACTCCAGACCATCCTGTAATTTCACCACTTGATTCCATGACTGACTCTAGCTCTCCCTGTCTTCTTTGTCCATCTTCCAGGTACTGTGCTTGGTACTACCACTGATGTATGGAACACATAGTAGACAATGTCACATTGGATTCTCAAGGCCAAGTGGAACTGGGTATAGAGCTGTGGTGGTTTCTAAGGGTCAACCCAGCAGATCTGGAAACAGGATTTCCAGAATTGCCTTCCTGTTATGGTTTGAGTGAAGGTTGGCTGCAGAGGAATTTGTGAATGACTAGGCAGGTGAAGTAAAACAGCTGTCCTAAGGCTCAGAGAGTTGGAGTAGGGCTCCCAGCCTCACCAGACCTGCGGCATGTTGTCAGTGACCCGCTGGCTCTTCTTGCTGGTAGGGGCAGCCATTTGGGCCCCCTCTACTGCAGCTCCTGCTGTCTCTTCAAGTCTTAGGCCAAGTCCTGTTCAGAAATGTGGCCAAGGGTGTCACCCCTTCTTCATATCTCCTGTGCCATCAAAATTGCAAGCAATGAGAGACAGAAACCAATTTGTGCTCACGTGTTTCCATTTGTCTCTGTGAGTTCCAGTATGTCCTCATGGGTTTAAATGTGTCCTTGCGGTCACCACTTTACGTCCAGGTTTTCTTCCCAGCTATAGGTCCTACTGAGCTGCAGTGACCAGAGCCTCACCACCACATCTTAAGTCATAAGATCCGGCCCTTATAGTAATTCCCACAGTCTGTATCACTCCAAGTGGAACTACTTCCCTGACTGAATACTAAATAACTCAAGAGGAAAAATGTTTCTCCATTTTTTTTTTTTTTTTTTTTTTTGTGAGACCGAGTCTCTCTCTGTTGTCCAGGCTGGAGTGCAGTGGCATGATCTTTGCTCACTGCAACCTCTGCCTCCCAGGTTCCAGCAATTCTCCTGCCTCAGCCTCCTGAGTAGCTGGGATTACAGGCATGCGCCACCACATGCATTTCACCATGTTGATCAGGCTAGTCTCGAACTCCTGACCTTGTGATTTGCCCGCCTCAGTCTCCGGAAGTGCTGGGATTACAGACGTGAGCCACTGTTCCCAGACAGTTTCTCTATTGTTTAGTATATTGGCAAGGTCTGAAGGACAGGACGGGAGCCCCTGGGGCTGGTGTTCACTCACTCCGTTCTTCATTTAACGTATTCACACCATGTGTATGAGCATTCAGCTTGGTGGGTGGAGCAGCTCCGCATGACTTGCTGGAAATAATTCGGAGCACTTATAACCGGGCTTGGGAACCCAAGCCAAGTGTTCTTGAGTACATCCGTATGGGAAACAAAAGTTTTGTTTTGTCCTCATCATTCCCTCACCCACTTCAGATGGGGAAATATTTGGGAAACGGAAGTGCATATCATATTCTGCCTGTGCTACCAACGTTCTAATGGTGTTTACCTGAAATGTTTCTATCGTTCCCGAACTTTCAGTGCTTCTGTTGGTGATTGGCGAGGAACAGAGTGCACTCTCCTGAACTGAAATCTAATGAATGCCACAAAGGGAAGATAAACTGGAGACACTTGAAAAAAGAAAAAGAAAAGAAAACTCACTTCAAGAAACCGAAGCTTTCCGCTCGCCCCCCTCTTCTCCCCTCACTCGCAGCCAACTAAGCTCCCCACACATTCTGATCGTCTCCCTGCACGGTGTCTGTGGTGGTGACAACTGATTCATGTGTTCATTTGCATATCCCCCGGTGCCAGCAGCAGAATACAGAACGGGCCTCCTGTGCCGGCAGCCAACACAGCACTGGCAAATCAGGGAGCTGTCAGAAACAGCTGTCCATTAACGGAGTTTGTGGAAACAACCAGGAGCTGTTTGAAAATGCTAGGTGGTAGAATTTAATTGGAGTAGCAACTGTTCAAAATTAAGATTAAAAGGACCAGTCAGTCAACGTGGATTTCGTGACACCTTAAAAATAACATTTCAGGTTTGATTAATGCTGCACGAAGTTTCTCTCCTTCGCTGATAGGGCCTGTGTGCTGATAGTTGATTCAGTGAATCTATCTAGCAGTGAGAGCTCATGGGCTCCAAAGGTCAGATATCTTATTCTCTACGCTGAAACCCTTGTTGCTTTAAGGAAAGAGGATTTTAATAGGAATCACATGCACGTTGACTACGGGGAGCCAAGCGGTGGTGGAAGAAGCGAAGTTGGCAGTTTTGGAGACGGACGTCTTTTTATCCACAGTGTGAGTGTGGCTCAGCTCTGAGCAGCCCACCCTACCACCCTGTCCCCTCTTGGCCAGATACGGGAACTTACAGAGTATGTCGCTTCCCAGCGGTGAGTTGAGGAAGAAAAGAGAGTCTTCATGGCCAGTTTAATCCTTGGCTTCTCTCCTGAGCAGGCCGAAAAGGTTGCTAGATGTTGCCAACACCGAGTGAGTGTATGGGGGTCACTGAAATACCAGGATCAGTAATGGTTTCCTAAAAAGACTTTTTATCCTTCTGAAAAATCTCAACTTTAGCATTTAATTAAGATTAGAAAACAATTCCAACACGCCAGACACAGCTTCTTGTAATTTGAAACAGAGTTCATCACCCCAAACACCACATTTTAACGATTTTTAATTTCTGATTGAACTCTAGGTACTCAAGTCAACATTCTCGTTCCACATTCATGATTCCTATTGTGGTCATTTAGTTTCATTCTTTGACTTTTATTCTTAAATAGATTGTCTTGCCACTTCTTACAAATGTCCATTTTAAAATGGATTGAAAAGGAAGAACATTGAATGTAATTGAGAACGACAGCACGTGTAGAGTAGGTTTAGATGTAATTTGGGGGGAGAGTGGGTAAACCTGTTTTTCGAAGAAAACATCAGAGCCGATATACCGTAGGGTCAGGACGATGAGTGCGAGGCAACAGTTCCAGATAGGTAGTGCACCGCAGCCAGGAGAGGAGTGACAGCTGGTGGCTTAGTGAACAGATTTCAGTTTAGGGTTTTCTGAACATTTTAATATGCTTCTCCACTGTATCCTTTGTTCCCAATTCAATAACAAAGCCGTTTCTTATTGTTGCCTTGGAATATCAGATTGGTTAGAAAACAAATAGAAAAAAAGAAAGTCATTTGGTATTAAAACAAAACATGTCTAAATATCTGAAGCAGTGTTATAATAATATGGAGGAGGTGAGAGAAAGGGAAGTTCTCCAAAGGGAGAGAGCCTGGGAATGCTTGCAAATGGAAATACCTGACATTTCATTCCTCTGAGGCTTTTTCCTTAAATTATGATCTTCTCCCAAACAATGTGTATCTCCCAACTTCTACCCAACTGATCAGCGGGCACAACTGACTGGTAGGGTCTTTAAGGAGAAAATAAAAGCAGTGAAGGATGAAACTGACTGAATCATACTGAAGGCATTAGTCTTAACAGCCAAGCTCATTTCAAAGGTATGGATACTGAAAGAAGCGGTTATCCTTGAGTCCTGCTGTCTGTGTGGCGTACCCTGCCTGTCTCAGTGGAAAGCCCCGATTTGTGTTTGTTGTGAATAACTGTGAATACCGTCTTAAGGCAGCTAGTTTCTAATTGTTGCCAGCCTAAAATGTGATTGAGTCCTCTATGTTGCAATAAGGCAAGAGGAGCTGTTCTTTGAGTGAAAATGTTTCCATTCAGCTAGAGGGAATGAGAGAAATGCTTCAGAATTCAGCCTTTCCCTTGCTATTTTTAGTTAAATGAGGCTCACAATCATGAGAGCGCGCTGCTGCGTTGGCCCATGATATGACCAAAGTGAATTGCTAACATGTCGGTAGCTTACAGAGATTCTAAGAGAAGTAGTTGGAAAATACTAGTTTTGGGTAAAAAGATAAATGAAATCGAGGAAGAATTAAACGTTGCATGGTAGAAGCTATCCTTTTATATCATTAAATTCTACTGAGGGGATCATGGAAGGAATTCATGCTTCAGTAGCATCCTGGTCTCCATTTTCACTTTTCTCAGTTCTGGCTTGAACATTCAGGAAGAATGCAGATTATGACAATAGATTTATAAAATGTATGGTTAAGACTTATGCTAGCTCAATTAAAGAGTGGCATACAGTGAAAAATATTGTGAGAATTTTAAGAAAGTAAGAATGAAGACAGTGGAATCCAGACAGGTTTGTGGTCTTAGGACTTTGCTCTTTTGTCTTCTCTGAGCAACTCAGCCATCTCTTTGTCCCTCATAAAGCTCTACCTTGAACATAACTTGGCTTGTGTCTGTAGCAGGTCACCAGAAATCTGTTTGTCTTCCCATACAGGCAGCCCTACTAATTTCCAGGCTTTCCTTGCTGTTAAGGGGGGTCTCATGATGTGTTTCGGTCATGGAATCTGAAAAGAAGTGGCAGCTTCAGAGCTCAGGCTTTTGTGAAGTGGAGCCCTCATGCTAGGAGATGGCCAAGCCACAAAGGGGAAGCTCTGATCTTTGGTCCGTGAGCCACCACTGGAGGAAAGCTACCCCGAGACTAGAAGCATCTAGTTAGACTTTAACACAAGTGAAAATAAACTTGCCTCTGAGGCATTAAAACTTTTCATCAGTTAGTGACTGCATCCTGTCCAAAGTGAACTATTGCATATGATCCTGAACTTTATAACCCAGTTTCTTTCTGCCACCTGCCATTATTCCTCCAACCCATCTATCATCTATTCCCCACTCCCACTGATCTAATTAACCAACTCATAGTTTTATTTTAGGCCTGGCAGGCAGTAGGTTTCCAACCAGCCGATGCATCAGCTGCAGATGCTTGTTCACATTTGACCTAACTAGCTCTGGTCATTGTGTCTAGTCACAGCTGTGGGCCTCACCTGTCAGAGGATAATATAAGCAACACAGGGTGGGAGAGTGAATCCTGGGTGGAGTTGCAGCAGAAGCAGTGGGGAGCACTGCATGCCTCTGCTGTGATGAGCGCCCAGCAGAAACTAGACTTTCATAGCTCTAATGTGGAAGACTCCATGAAGTCAACTCCATGAAGTCAAATATGTCACTATAAGCTTATAGGAATATGTCTCAAGGTGTATTCTGAGTTAAACTTGCATGTGCCAAAATGGTAAATGAACCACTCCTGCTGTCATCCTCAAATTCATTCTCAGTCCTAGTAACAAGTCTCCTCCTTCCAAATGAAAGTATTCTTTTGTCAGCTCCTATATTCACACAAAAATGTGATCTTTGTCCTTCAGAAGTTCCCAGTGCAAGACGGGCTGTCAGGAGCCAATAATACTAGGCTTTGTAAGTACAAAGTCAGATGACATAAAGTATGATTTCTGTTCATAACTCATGCATACAGCAGGAGTCCACAGGTCATGCACACCTTGAAATCTGAACAAAATGTCATGGAATCCCATGGGTAATATGCACATATTCAGAGCTATAACTGATGTACTTTATATGGATATATATTATATGGATATATATATAGTGTATATAGTATATATATGGATATACATTACATATATGGATAAATATACATTTGATATACATTATATATAGAGTTGATATACATTATATATAGAGTTGATACACATTATATATGGATATATATCCACATATATACAGTTGATATACATTACATATATGGATATATATACATTTGATATACATTATATATAGAGTTGATATACATTATATATAGAGTTGATACACATTATATATGGATATATATCCACATATATACAGTTGATACACATTACATATATGGATATATATACATTTGATATACATTATATATAGAGTTGATATACATTATATATGGATATATATCCACATATATACAGTTGATATACATTACATATATGGATATATATATCCATATATATACAGCTGATATACATTACATATATGGATATATATATCCGTATATATACAGTTGATATTACATATATGGACATATATATGGATATATATATGTCCATATATATACAGTTGATATACATTACATATATGGATATATATATCCGTATATATACCGTTGATGTTACATATATGGATATATATATAGATATATATATGTCCATATATATATACAGTTGATATACATTACATATATGGATATATATATCCGTATATATACAGTTGATATTACATATATGGATATATATATATAGATATATATATGTCCATATATATACAGTTGATATACATTACATATATGGATATATATATCTGTATATATACAGTTGATATTACATATATGGATATATATGTCCATATATATACAGTTGATATACATTACATATATGGATATATATATGTCCATATATATACAGTTGATATACATTACATATATGCATATATATGTCCATATATATACAGTTGATATTACATATATGGATATATATATGTCCATATATATACAGTTGATATACATTACATATATGGATATATATATCCGTATATATACAGTTGATATTACATATATGGATATATATATGTCCATATATATATACAGTTGATATACATTACATATATGGATATATTATCCGTATATATACAGTTGATATTACATATATGGATATATATATGTCCATATATATATACAGTTGATATACATTACATATATGGATATATATATCCGTATATATACAGTTGATATACATTACATATATGGATATATATATGTTCATATATATACAGTTGATATACATTACATATATGGATATATATGTATGGATGTTCATGTAATGACATCTAACAGTTTTTACCTAGTTCGCCTGTAGTACATATTACACTTCCTGGAGAAAGGTATATGTGTTTGGATAGCTTCGGTAGCCCTAATAAATAAAATTTTAAGGCGGAGAAAGTTTTCTTCTTAGTGGTAGAGACAAATGAAAGCAAGGACACTTCCCTCTGTGCTGATTTTGCACTGCCTGACAACTCCGCAGAACATTATAGAAACAATGTATTTCACAACACAATTTCTAAGGAATTTTATTAGTGCTTTTTTTTAAGACTTGATTGCATTACCCTGTCCAGGCTGGAGTTGCTATTCACAGGCACAATCATGGTGCACTACAGACTTGAACTCCCGGCTCAAGCAGTCCTCTAGCCTCAGCCTCCTAAGTAGCTTGGACTACAAGCAGTTGCCACCTGGCTTAAGCGTATATTTTTTGGATGGAATGTGAACATTTTACAATTACCTGCGTATAGTCATTATGTGATTCTTTCAAAAGAGTATTTAGCTAAGAAAGGTTTTGTTTCTATCGAGGTGTTATTTTTTACATATTAGTAAGTTTTTTGTGTGCCTTCACATCTCTACTGGTTTTGCCCTGTGTAGCTTAAACTATTTCTCCAGTATTACCAGATTTAGACATTCAATGGAAGTTTTTTTAAGGTAAAGACTACAGAAGAGAATGATATTTTTAGTATAAGGGACTAGGCTATAGCATGTACCTGCAAAACACCATGTGACCTATTGTCTAAATACATGCTTGGCTGTCTTTTAAAAAATTGTGTTTTGCTTAATTTTATAGGAATAATTTCAACTACAGAAAAAACAGGAAAAGGAAGAAGACAATAAAATTCAAAGGTTCGATGTACGGTAGTGTTTTAGAGCTCTACCTCAGGAATCAGAAAGATAAAAAGCCAATAATGACTAGACTTTGGACCACATTGTGAAGCTTCCCTCTAAGCTTCAGCTTACTCCTTGTTATAATGTGAATACCATGTTTTCTTGGAGAAACTGAATAAGTTACTCCATGCAAAGTGCTGCAGATGGCACTTGGTACATAAAAGTGATCAGCCAGCCAGGTGAGGTGACTCAGACCTGTAATCCTAGCACATTGGAAGGCTGAGGCAGGCAGATCACAAGTTCAGGAGATCGAGACTATCCTAGCGAACACTGTGAAACCCTGTCTTTACTCAAAATACAACAAATCAGCTGGGCATGGTGGCAAGTACTTGTAGTCCCAGCTATGTTGGAGGCTGAGGCAGGAGAATCGCTTGAACCTGGGAGGCAGAGGTTGCAGTGAGCCGAAATTGTGCCACTGCACTCCAGCCTAGGTAACAGAGAAAGGCTCTGTCTAAAAAAAAATAGTGATCAGCTCATCTAGTTGCTCTCTTAGTGATTAAAAGCATTATCATCATCATTGTCATCACATCCACAGTTTCCCACATCCCAGCCCTCTAAGACATTGAGGTTTCTGTCTTTCCCATGGTTTGTATTATGCCTATTTGTCTTCTATATTTGGATCATACTGTATATCTGTAACCCTAAAAGTTAATACTATGTTTTAAATTACATTTTTTTCATTTCTAAGAAAAATATAATGTCACTGTAGTACTTTGTGTAACACATTTGTCTTTTGTTTGCTAGCATTGACAAATTATGTTCTGATAGGTAATCATTACCTAATGGTAAATGCCTTATTACATGGTAACCTCATACAAAAAGTGTCATTCTTATTCTCTAATATCAGAATTAGAAAAAATGTGCTGTATTTTCACAGAGCCAATATTCATATTATCCCAACATATGATTTCAAAATTTGTATAGTCCTGTTTCAGCTTTTTCAGGGTTTGTCATCGCATGTGCATATGATACATACACACATGTCCTTTGCTCTAGCAGTTCTGATAATGCACAAATAGATCACTTCCTTTAAATAAGCCAATCTATGCTTATTAGGGAAAGTCTTATGACTAAGCAAGGCGTCCAGATTTGAAATATGCAAATGAACGCCATCTACACCTGTAACTGCATGGGTCACATTGCCTAGCCTGGCAATAGAAATCTTAGCTAAAGCTGAGACACAATAAATAGAAATGTAAATTTCAAAAGGAGGAGAGGCAGGCCAAAGAGAAAGGGGCTGTTGCCTAAATGAGAGGCTACAGACAGGTCACCTCATCCACTCCTCTGTGTGTGTGCTGCGTGACTCACATTCAGTCTGGTAAGATTCTCAAACAAAGTCCAGTGTCCTAAAAATATTTGGAACTATTACAAAGCATAAATTATAAATGTGTCAGGAAAATGGGAAAAGGTGTCTTGGGCCTACTTAAAGCACAAAATGATCTCAACCATTATTCAACAATGATATGAACATCTTTTATTTCATCTCTCCTTAACTGTTCTTTCTGTTTGCTATCATTTCCTGCTCAGCACCATGTCAATAATTACTAAATTAGCGGGACGCCTGTACAATTTCAGCTCAAGTGTTATTACTGACAAGTCAAACAATGGGGCTGATGGAAAAGATGGGACTCCATCTCCTTATTTAAATGGACCGTGTTCAGAAGGAAAGATTGAAGCCCCCTTTTTCTTCAAAAGAAGGAGGGAGGGAATGGTTTACATTTTGTGCGGCTCAAGGACACAGAGTCAGAGGAAATGCCTTTTTAACAGAAACCTCTTTTCATTTCCAGGGGACAAAAATGAAGGTTATTGAAAAGAATCATGCTTGGTGGAAGAAGTAATTACATTTTTTTCAAATCTCAGAGGAATAATGCTTTTATATTTCCTGAGATGACCCAATTTGCACTACGATATGCTCCCTTAAATGTAAGTATGCGGACGCCCTCGCCCTGTATTGTTTTTCACTGGTAAAGATGCCCCGTCGTACCTCTGATTAATTTCGGTACTAGTCTCCCAATACACAAAAGCAGCTACACCATGGTTGTCCGTTCTTACAATGATGAGTTAAAAATGACAGACTTGGCCAGTTCCCCCCAACCAAGAAAAAAAAAAAAGAGTCAGAGAGTCAAGTAGCTGCAGCTATAAATCATCTTCTCAATTGTATGATTCAGGGCCACTGACCTGTCTTTGCAGTGAGAAGGAAGTAGCCTGACACATGAGTGCTCCGGAGGATAGCTGGGGCTCTTGCTTCAGCAGCCAGGCACTGGTTAAGTGGACTGGAAGGAAGGGTTTCTTACTTCTAGTCCTTCTTCTCCAGCCTTACTGTATATACACCTGTCCCCAGACCTCTGCTAGCCACAGCTAATTAGGAACAAGCTCAGGAACACCTTTTCTCTACAATAAGAGGTGGTATTTTAAAAATGTATTAAATATTTGTTAAAATGTGTGTTTCTAGCAATAGGATTGCTAAGAAACACTCCAAAATAGTGTTTATATACCTCTGAACCATTCTTTGATTATTTTTATTAAAATGCTTAAAGCACTTTCTGGAAATTGATTTGTATTTGATATAGATAGGAATTCACTGGGCATAAAACTAAACTTAGTTTTGAGATGTCAAACAATCCTTCCATGACCTTTGGCTTGCAGTGAGGTAAACATTTAGTTGAGAAATATATTTGTATGATTGCTTCTCGGTATTTTGGTTAAGATCAAGGTAGCAAATGTATGTATGTTTCCTGTTCTAGTGTATATACAAACAACCTCTTGATTTTTGGAAAAAGTGATCACGCATGATGTCACTTAGCATGTTGGAAAGCCCTAATCTTAATTCTTTTAGACCTCCAAAAGAGATGGTCCCTTAAACAATGTTAGTGAGGAAAATAAATAAAGATTAATGAGATTTCTACCTTTCTTAAAGATACGTTTAGATTTTTATTTCTTTTTACTCATTTTCTTATACTAGCTATGGAAAAAATGATGAGGATAATTTGGGGGGATTTGTTTTGAGAGCTGATAGGAAGGTAGGGGTTCTATCACCTGCAGTAACTCAAAGGGTGCACACAAGCACTAGGCTACCAGATAGTCAACAAACATTAGCACTGTGTGACTAAGAAAAGCGAGTACCCATCTGTTTCACTAATGTGAACTTCTGACACTTTAATAAATGATCATAAAGTCTCTGCTTAGTGATTCATTGGACAGTTATGGCCTCTGAAAAGGCCTGTGCCACTATATAACTTATGCTCAAGAACAAGATTATAGATTTGAGTAATCTTAGTAATGAATCCTAAGGTATAAAAAGACCTTCAATATTGTGATTTTTTTTCTTTCTTTATTTTACTTTAAGTTTGAGATACATATGCATCTGTTACATAAGTATACATGTGCTGTGGTGGTTGCTGCACCTGTCAACCCATCATGTAGGTTTTAAGACCCTCATGCATTAGGTATTTGTCCTAATGCTCTCCCTCCCCTTGCCTCCCACACCTCAAACAGCCCCAATATCTTTTGTTCCCCTCCCTGTGTCCCTGTATTTTTATTGTTTAACTCCCATTTATGAGTGAGAACATGCGGTGTTTGGTTTTCTGTTCCTGTGTTGGTTTGCTGAGAATGATGGCTTCCAGCTTCATTCATGTCTTGCAAAGGACATGAACTCATTTTTTATGGCTGCATAGTATTTCATGGTGTATATGTGCCATATTTTTCTTTATCCAGTCTGTCATTGATGGGCATTTGGGTTGGTTCCAAGTCTTTGCTGTTGTAAATAGTGCTGCAATAAACATACATGTCCATGCGTTTTTATAGTAGAATGATTTATAATCCTTTGGGTCTATACCCAGTAATGGAATTGCTGGGTCAAATTATTTCTGGTTCTAGATCCTTGAGGAATTGCCACACTGTCTTCCATAATGGTTTAACTAATTTATACTCCCTTTAGCAGTGTAAAAGCATTCCTGTTGCTCCACAGTGTCACCAAAATCTGTTGTTTCCCTGACTTTTTAATAATCACCATTCTGACCAGCGTGAGATGGTATCTCGTTGTGGTTTTGATTTAAATTTCTATAATAAGCACTAATGATAAGCTTTTTCTTTTTCATGTTTCTTGGCCACAGACCTGTCATCTTTTGAGAAGTGTCTGTTCATATCCTTCACCCACTTTTTGATGTTTTTTTTCTTGTAAATTGTTTAAGTTCCTTGTAGATCCTGGATATTAGACCTTTGTCAGATGGATATATTGCTAAAGTTTTCTCCCTTTCTGTGGGTTGCCTGTTCATTCTGATGCTAGTTTCTTTGGCTGTGCAGAAGCTCTTTAGTTTAATTATATCTCTCATTTATTGATTTTGGCTTTTGTTGAAATTGCTTTTGGTATTTTAGTCATGAAGTCTTTGCCTCTGCCTATGTCCTGAATGATATTGCCTAGATTTGTTTTTTTTTTCAAAGGGTTTTTATGATTTTGGGTTTTTACATTTAAGTCCTTAATCCATCTTAACTTTCGTGTAAGGTTTAAGGAAGGGTACAGTTTCAGTTTTCTGCATAGAGCTAGCCAGTTTTCCCAGCACCATTTATTAAATGGGGAATCCTTTCCCATTGCTTGTTTTTGTCAGTTTTGTCAAAGATTAATGTTGAAAATGTATTTGCTGTCTCTAAGCTCTGGCTAGTGATTGAGGAGATTCATAAGAAAATGAAAAAAGATAAAAGTTATAATTGCAATAGAAATATTTCTAACACTTGAATGTCATGATTTTGCCTGGATTTGTGCATGATTCTCTTACTCTGTTGACTGGTTTTCTTCTCAATGAATTGACTGGATTCTCTGATTGTGTTTGAATCCTTCACTATATGTTTCATTGTAAAAGATATGTGTGAACCATCAGTTACTTGAGTTTATCATTTATCCCACCAGGGTTTATTTATTTGTTTACAATTAATATTTTTTGCAAGATGTTTCTGAATTTTGAGCCACTGACTAGTAATTTGGGTATGTTTTTAGATAATATCTTAATAGAAAAATCATAGATAAATGTATATAATAGATATTTCAATATTCTACTAATGGGAATTATAGTGTTGTGAAAATGTGAGTTAGCAGACTTTTCAAAAATCATATTTTTCAGGGAGTGTAGAAGATGTTGATATCCATGACACTAAGTACTGGTAGTTTTCTTAGTATCATTTAACATCATGAATTTGAGTGGGACTCTCTATTGTCTGGAGTTCCACAGACCCACACTTCCAGTGGTCATAGTAGTACCAAAAGACCTTTTCAATTAAAGGTTTCTATTAAAGAGTAGATTAATTAGATAAATTAATTTGGAAGTTCCTATCATGTACCTGTCCGAAATAAAGGAGTAATCTGCCAAGAAAATGATACATTTCCCAGGATTATTTTATGTAAAACCTGCTGTTTCATTCAGTGTGGTCAGATTGCCTGGAGTCAATGTGTAGCTCTGCCGTATCAGAGCTGGGAGACGTCGGACAAACATAACATTTTCCCCCTTTGTAATGTCAGGAAGACCATTCAGTAATACTGACTGCCTCACAGGGTGATGGAGAGAGTTGAGTGGATTAGAGTTGAATGACATTAGTCAGAGTTGAATGATAGAGCTCATCCTAACACAGAGTAGATGCTTGCTAAAGGGGAGCTATTGTTGTCATCACCATTATCATTGTTATTATCATTATGGCAAAATTATTCTGAAGTCTGTCTTGGTTATGCCATTTCCTCAAATTTATGAACATGGCCCTTCTAAATCAAAATGGAATTTCCCTTGTCACTTGCAGTCTCCATTAGGCAAATAAACCATTTCTATCAACAGAAACCATAGAAAATGGTCCACTGTCAGGTACTGACACAACCGATTTATTTACCATCCCTTCACTCAACAGACATTTACCAACTGTACACAATGCCGTTGGTAATCAGATGTTTACCAACTTGTATTACATGCAAGACAGCATATAAAAATGAGAAATTGTGGGACCTTTCAGGTATAAGTCTCATGTAAAGAATTTATTTCTCCATCATTAGTTCATTTATTCATCCATCTGATGTTTATGGAGTTCTATGATATAACAGGTCCAATTTTAGACACTTGAAATATGTCACAGAATGAAAACAGAAAGAATCCTTTCCCTGGGGGAGTTTACATTCTATTTGGGTGAAGACAAACAATAAATAGTAAATATACACATTTATATAGTAACTGTGAGTAGGATGCCTGGGAAGGAAGGAGCAGCCTCCATATTTAATCAGTGGGTTGAAACAGCTTTGTTAAGAAGACAGTATTTGAGGTAAGACTTGAAGAAAGTGAAAGAACTAACAACAACAACAATTTGAAGGAGGAACATTTCAGTAGGAGGAAACAGAAAATTCTCCAAAGAGAGTGCATGGCTGGTATGTGGTTGGGGAGGCTGCAAGGGCTTGAGATGTGAATGGAAGAGAAGGAAAATACAGGATCAGGGGCCTAAGAGAGAGGGCAGAGCTTTATTTTAAGATCCAAGAATTTTACTTTCAGTGAAATGAGGGGATATTTGAGGGTTTTGGATAGAGGAGTAATATGAACTGGTTTGCATTCTTAAAGAATCATTTTGGAGGGTTATTGATAATGGACTACAGAGGAGAGCAAAGGTACAAACATGGAGACTTCTCAGGATGTTGTTGTAGTAACCCAGGTGAGCATCATCATGGCTGAGGTCGAGTTGGTAGTGGCAGAAGTGGTGAGAATGTACATCTGCGTGTACTTTCTGGATGTCTTTATACATAAAACCTCCAGAATTTGCTGAGAAATTGGATGTGAAGTATGATTTTAAAATATCTTAAGAAAACCTTGTGGCTTGATCGATTAAATGAATGGTGTTGCAATCCACTGATACTAGGTCTGGGTGTCAAACATAATAGTGAGAGTGGCAAGTAGGGTAGGGAG